CTCTTCAAACACAACCACTCCAAAACTAGATGTGCAAACTCACAAAGGGCGGCATCATTCCGCGGTAGGGAGGGAACTGGGGTGGGCCCGAAGGCTGTAGCGACCCCCGGGGATCATGGCTGTGATGAAGTTTGGAGTCTGGGCCCTCCAGCTCATCAGGGCCACGCCCACCTCCATCCCTCCAAGTTGTAGAATCTGTGTTTTGGAAAAGGCAAAGAAGAGATATAGGTTTAAAATGACGGGGAAGGTAAATAAACCAACATTTAGCTCTGAGATAGAAGAAGGTGTTGTTCTGGGCAAAAAATAACCAACCACTCACCTACCCACTCAACTCACAAATGGCAACCACTCACTTTGGGGGCGGAGGCTTGGTCCGGGCCCAGACGACTGTTCGGCAGACTCCCTTTCCTTGGCAGCCTTGTCCTGGTCGCCAGCCGCCTGCAGGGTCGGAAATTCCTCTCGAGAGAATCGTGACAGTAGGCTTGATGCCCTTCCACCTGTTGGGGTTGGGATGCAGAGTAGCAGACAGAAGTATATTTACTGAGAATGTACCAAGAAAGTGGAAGGCTCTGATAGGTACCAAATCATCAAGTTTCTGTTTTAAAAGTCACTGCCTATGTACTGCATACTCATTCCCCAAGAAACAAGGTCAGTTCTGGAACACCACTTCACCCTCAAGAAAGACAGACACAAATCTGCTTACATGGCCCATGAAACTGAATATGGGGCCCAAAAGTTAGCCAGAGGACAGAGAAAGTACAGTGCTGTGCTTTGCTGAAAGTACAGTGCAGGGCTCCTACCTACCACAGTGCACAAAGCAAGGTCTCCAAGCAGCCCTGCACTCACCATCTCCATGTGCTCCATGGGTGACGCTGGCTTGTGCCCAGGACTTTACCCCGCTTGGAACCGAAGGAGTGTTCTGGGGAAGCAGAAAAATAAATTGTGATGTGGGGGGTGGAGCTACAAACCATTCTTGTCTACAGTCCTTCAATAACATCCAGTTCTTCACATACCTCGGGGGCTGCTGGGGGTCGTTTCTGTTGGTTGGAGGCAGGCGTCTGTGAAGCCGGCAGTGGCTGCGATTCCGGCGGCTGAGCGGTTGAGGCATCGGAACTAAAAGGATGGTAAGACAAAAAGGTTATCCAGGATCTGAGATGCCCTCCCTCATTTCTCCAATTCATGGAGGATAAGTGAACCCAGGCCCATTTGTTACCGTTTACAAATATTTATATGACAAAATACTATAACCTAGTCACCCTGTGTAGGTGGTTTGTTGATGCCTTCCTGCCACCTGACAGAAAGCTAAATGTCATTCCTTAGTCCTCTAACAGGAGCCTAGGAATAGCCAAGAAAGGGGCTTCCCTCTGTCTCTGGATCTTATGTGGCTAGACTAGACCAAGCCCCAATTCATCCTGAAGTTTTAAGTTAAAATACTCATTGCTCTAGATCTCCTAGGCCTCTGTCTACCTCTTGGGGTCGGACTGGTCCTGTTTGCTTGCCCATCCTGTTCCGTCTTTCGGCACTAGTGAGACGTTGGGGTCATTGCCTTTGTTCTCGGCTTTCAGGCTTGGAAGGTTGGCTGGGGGTGGCATACGCCGGGCAATGGCAACTTTCCCGAGACTCTGCAGGCCATGGCGAGGGGCAACTGGAGAAAAGATGAGAGGGTGAAAAATGCCCCCCATGGGTGATCTGACAGCTTTCTCCCCTAAGCCCCATTTATACACCCTCAATGTCTTACTACCAAACTTCTTTTAGAAACAACTCCTTTCTTTGCCTTCAGCAATCTCTAGAATTCCACTGGAAAAACTAAGATGCATTACACTTGATGCTTCTCTGTTGGATGGTTGGTCTTGAGCCTGCAGGGAGCAAGCTGACCCCAGACTTCTCCAAATCCAGGTTTCTTTTCCTCCAATTCTTACGTGTCTAAAGACAGGGAACTACAGACACGCCTTTGTGGGAGGGTAAATGGTGTTCATTCAATGACCAATGTCCCCTGTGGGACCCAATATAAAACTGGAAAGTCTCTAGATGTTCCTCTAGTCTTTTGATATTTGCACTATAACCACTTCCCTGCAAAGAGCTTTAAAATGTATATCCATTCACGACCGGCCTCTAGGAATTAGGAATATCTTTGCAGGACCCTCACCAGCGGGTTTCTGGATCTCTAAGGACTTGCCCTTATACGTATCAAACAAGTTGAGCGAGGAATACTTCTTTCCATCCTTCCCCTTGGCAGTCGGCCCCGAGCGATCGGACATTGCGCTGGAAGCTCATTGAGTACGTTGGGTCCTGCAGGCACCTCCCCCAAAACGTGCCGGAGCCTGTGGGCCAGACACCAAATGTTTCAGTCTCTGCTCCCTTTACTGACTCCAAAAGAAACCCAGATGCTCCTTTTTGTTCTCATTAGGGACCCAGATATGTTGCCCTCTGGTGTCTTGCCTCCAGCCTATTCAAAGTCCCTAGTCCCTTTAAGCAACTCCCACAGAGCCCAAATGCCATGGTGCCTCTTTCCCCCCGACACCTCTTGCCAAGGAAATCCAAATAAATCTAGTATCATCCTAGTAGTAAACACACTCTTCTTTTTGTGCCATGCTATAAGGGGTAGCAGCTACTTCATTATCTCCCTTCATAATCTCTTCTCCCTCCACAGAAATCATTCCAGAGATGTACAATAAAACATGGCAAGTCCCAGCCTCAGACTAAACCAGAAAAAAGCATAAAGCTCCATCCTGAAAGGAGCATAACTTCAGAGTCCCCACTTTTTAGACACCAACTCCCTAACTGCACCCCAGGTTCCTTTTCCAGAAACCTCACTCCCATCTGAGGTTTGCACGAAGGTATGCTGGGAGTTTAACGATTTTACGAGCTTGCTAAGCCAGACTAGGGGCTGGTGCCAGATAATTCCTCATGGAACAATTGGGGCTCTACATACTCCCAAGCTACAGAAGAACCCCAAGTATTTGGAACATTCAACCCCATCAGTTCCTACCCTTGCCCCCATCCCAGCTCCTGGGAAAAAAATCTTGTCTCCAGATGATACTAACACTGCTGGGCTCTGGCTCACCCCATGTAGACGTGAGAAAAACATTACGGAGCTACCTCAAGCACAACTCTGTAATCATGGGGTCAAAACCAAAACCAACCTCATTCTCCTACTCTCAGTAAGAATGTCCATCAGCAGTCATTTCTTTCCCCAATATCCCTTCCTCCCCAAGCAGGCCAAACTCTGCATCATCAGTCGGTTCCTGAGTGACCAGGCATTCATTTATAGAAAGGAATGGCGTACAGGAAAGAGATGGAAGGTGGTGGGAAAACCAAGCAAACACAGGGTAAAAACTGGGTAAAATCAGGATGAAAACCGGGGAGAACTTTAAGACAGGTAAGATGAGGGAACGGGGATTGCTTTGTAGGTGTTTAGACTCCAATGTTTGAATATAAATATGTGGAAAAAAAAGGAGACAGAATAGTGGAATAACACTAATAAAAAAGGATCAACACTAAAGCAGGTGGAACATAATACACTTAAGCAGAAATGGTAAAGACACAGCGCAAAATAAAAGGTCAATGTCAAGACACCCAAGAAAAGAAGGGTTGAGGCACAGAGAGGAAAAGACATAGGGAAAAACTAAAAAGCAAAGAAAAGTGAGTAACGTAAAAAGGATGTAGGATAAAAACAGGGCTCCAGGGTGGGAGTGACTCGACGCGAACGGGGGTCAAGAATGGGGAACCCAAGCAGTAGCTGATGGTGGGGGGGGTCCAATATGGAGGAAAGGAGCTCTCCGAAGATCGTCGGGTGCGGCCCACCCCGGAGTGGCGGCAGCGAAGGGACCCACAGATTGGGGTGAAGAGGCCAAGAGCGCAACGGATGGTGGGGAGTTACGGGCCCAAGAAAGGGGGTCACCCCAAGGAAGCAGGACGGTGGGTGATTAGGGGCAGGGCATACACTCTCTTTGAGGGGCTGGAGGTGCGGGTACCAAGCTGGGGGTATCAGAGGGGGAGGGGCAGGCAGGCCCCAGCAGCAGGAGGACAAAATGGCGGCGGCTAATGGCAGCTTCTCCTCCCCCCGGCCCGCCACTGCCGCCGCCGCCGCCGCCACCACCGCTCCCGCGCCGGAAAAGGGAGTTAGCACTCGGCTCCCCAGACTCACCTGGCCGGGTGCGCGGGGGTCCGGGACCGGAGCCTAGGGGATCCCCGAGGTGGGATGGCGGTGGGGCGGGGGCGGATGGCGGCGGATGGCGCCGGGCTCGGCTCCTCCCGTCTCCCTCGCTCACTCCGCGGCTGGGCTCCGACTAACGGCCCATCCGGGCAACCGCCGCCCCCGGGAGCACCCCCCCCAACCTCCCGCCTCCCTCAGCGCACGACACGCCTCCTAATTTGCATAAAGGGCGGGGCAATTTCCATCCTATCCTTCTTTACTTCGAGGGCCGGCCCTATTTAAAAAAAAAATAAGCAGGGCGTGCGGAGCAGGCACAGGTTATTTGCATGAAGAGGAGGGACTTACAGGCGCTAGGAAGCCGGTTGGCTAAAGAGACACGCCCCCGACGTCGGCCGTTAAGACGCGTAAAGGGGCGGCAAGGCAGCGTCCGTCTGTCGGGCAGTTGGGGCGCAGAATTTGTACGATGAATAGGGGCGGGGGGGGAAGAAGAGAGGCGGAGCGTGCGTCGTGCGTTCGTGGAAAGATGGGAGCGGAGAGGCGCAGGGATGCGGAGAGTGTAAGGAAACGATGCAACGCTGGTAGTGCTTTCAGGGGAGACCGAAAGAGCTCACGGGGCGGAAGGGATTAGCTGCCGGAGGGCGGAGTCTAGGTAACTAGGGAAGAGTGTCCGAATCACGCGTCCATTCGTAAGAGGCGAAAGCTCCAGAGGGGTGGGGCCTTCTAGTTATTAAATCACGTCATGCAAATGGAGTGGATAGACAGGCCAATCCTGAGGTCCAGGGGAGTGTATCGTCGGCACCGTGCACTATAGGCATTCTTTTGATAGTTCTGTTTATTTGCATAATACATGCAAATCATTTGAACAAAGATAGGGTAGGAATGACCTCTGCATTAACATATCATCAACCAATGACTAAGACATTTAATTTTATAACAATTTTCATGAATATATTTGTATATCTGATTATTGGCAGTTTGTATTCTCTTCACAATTGGTTTCACTCTACGAAATGCGGTACTAATTTCCTTCTTTGTCTTTTATTACTGTGCTCCAATCAGACCTACTACCCGGTCAGCAAATCCTTCGACAACGGTTTTGAAGGCGCCGAGACATCCACAATACATTCTGGAAGCAGAGAAATAAAATCAGATCCTGCCTGGGGAGGTTCAGAAATGCTTCTAGAAAAACGCGACTCTTATTTAAAAATGTGAAGACCTAGTTAGGATTTAGCCAAGTTTGAGGAGAGGGTGCACAGCTCAGGCTCTGTGAACTGATGAGCAGAGGCATGGTTTTAGGCATCTGTGACTAGGCTGATGTGATTAAAATTAAGAGACTGCCTCTCCATTATGGAAAATGAGAGCAGAAAAATTAGCAAGAATCAGATAAGAATTTTATCCTGAGGTTCATTAAGATAGTTGAGATGACTTCGGTTCTTAAACATTCCAAATGATTATCTTGTCCCCTCTCCCAGGTCTCCTACCACAGCAAAATTTCTTGGAAGAGTTCTTCATATTTACAGACAAAAATATCCTTCCTGCCATTCATTTGAGAGAGAGAGAGAAAGAGTGTGCAAGTGAGCAAGCGGCAGAGAGACAGAATCTCAGGAGGGGCAGAGACAAATGCGGGGCTCACCCTAAGTGGGGTTCATGTTCACCTGAAGTGGGGCTTGAGCTCACAAACCGTGAGATCATGACCTGAGCTGAAGTCAGACACTTAACTGACTGAGCCACCCAGGTACCCCTCTAATAGATCATCTCAAAGTCAGTAGATCCAACACTGAACATTTGATCTCTACAACCTCAAAACCTGTTCTCTTCACAGCCTTCATCATCTCAGCTGATGGCAATTTAAAAATTATAGTTAAGCCAAAAACCCTGGAATCCTCATTGACTCCATTCTTTATTTCACTCCCCACTTTCAGTCAGACAGGAACTGGCGTCTTGAGAAAATACCCAGAATCCAGCCTCTTCATGTACACTGCCTCTACCTTGATTTGAGCCACTCTCCTCTTTGATCTGGGTTATAACAACAGCCTCCTAACTTGCCATCTTTAGTCTACCCCTGCCCCTATAGTCTGTCCTCTACACTGCCACCAGGGTAGGCCTTTCCTTTTTTTTTTTTTTTTTTTTAATATTTTTATTTATTTCTAGGAGAGAGAGAGAGAGACAGCGTGAGCACGGGGCGGTCAGAGAGAGAGGGAGTCACAGACTCTGAAACAGGCTCCAGGCTCTGGGCTGGCCATCAGCACAGAGCCCTACGCGGGGCTCGAACCCACGAACCACGAGATCGTGACCTAAGTGAAAGTCGGACGCTTAACTGACTAAGCCACCCAGGCGCCCCAGGGTAGGCCTTTCCTTAAAGGAGGCCTCAAAGGACTCCCTTGCTCAAAGTCCTATAATGCCTCTGTTTCTCTCAAAGTCCTTAGAGTGGCCCACAAGACCCTAAATGACTTGGCCCCCTGATTTTATTACTCTCCCTACCTCTACCAGGCATGTCTCACGTTGGGGCCCTATTTCTTCTCTTTCCTCTGCCAAGTTGATTCTTCCCCCAGAAGCCCACATACCTCACTCCTTTACCTCCATGAGGTCTTTGTTCGCTGTTAGTCATCTTCTCAGTGAGGCCTACCCTGATCACCTATTCAACATTTTCATCTTCCCTGACCATCCTGGTACCCCTGATCCCCTCTAACCTGATCTACTTTTTATCTAACATCATATAAAATTTAAATTATGTTGGCTGTTTATTGTCTGTCCTCCTCCCATAACACTTTCCACAATAGAATGAAACTACACAAGGGCAAGGATCTGTTTTGTTGACTTTATATCCCAAAAACACCTAGAATAGGAAGTGGCACATAGTTGATACTCAGTAAATGATTTTCAAAGTCTTTTTACCAAAGTGTATATATATGTATATTCTTTTTGATGAATTTTCACAAACTGAGCAGAACATGTAGCCAAAAACAACCTTAACTAGGACCATGGAAACCACCAGAGGGCCCCTTCTAGTCACTGCCCTCCCCAAGGCTCACTACTATCCTGATTTATAACATATATTAGGTTTTTTAAATAACATATAACATATATTAGTTTTACTCATTTTTGTACTGTATACAAATGGAATTGTATAGTAAGGGTTCTTTTGCGCCTGTCTTCCTTTGCTCAACATTATGTTAATGAAATCCCTGCATATTGTTGCATGTAGTTGTACTTTGTTCATTCTCATTGCTGCATAATAATAGTCCAAGGTATGAATATAACCCAATTTATTTATCCTAGGTGAATGAGTTATTTAAGCTCTAGATCCTTTGTATCCTCCCTAGTGTCACCAGGGTTGTTGTAAAGAATTAGAGAATTAATATATGGGAAGCATTTAGGCTGGTATCTCACATACGGTAGGTGCTCAATAAAACTTAGCTATTGATTTCATTATGTTTGGATATTCTATTAAACTTGAAATGATATCACCCTCATCTGAAGTCCTATACAGTTAGTGTAGCGCCCCTTAGGAGGCCAACCTGGCTTCACCATTGGGAAGAGCCAACAGTCTATCTTCAGTACATGAAACAAGCTGGGCTAATTGGATTACCTCTTCCCAGAAAGTCAGGAAATCAGAAGTAGTGGCCAGTAACTGGAGGTTGCTAGAGTTAACTCATCTGGACCCATTGGAGGAGAGGTCCAATGATAGCCTCACTGAAGACTTAGGAACTCTGAGGTTTCTGCCTTTCCTGGGACTGGCTTTTTAATCCTTTCTGCCACCCAGGGATTCAGTATCCCCAGTATCTGTTCTCAATATCCTCCTAAAAGAAACCCCCTCTCCCTTCGTTAAACTTAGTTTCTGCAGCTTGTACCCCAAAAGGACCTCAATGACTCACTTAATGTTTAAGTTATCAGGCTTTATAGAGCTATGAATTCTTTACTCTATTCAATAACATTAGTTCTTTCATCTATCCATCTATCCATCCATCCATTCACATTTTAAACCTTATTGAGAGCTTATGATAAGTCAAGCACTGCAAGGTAGATCATATAATCCCCATTTTCAGATGAAAGACTCAGACAACAGGGCCACCTGGGTGGCTCAGTTGGATAAGTGTCCAACTTCAGCTCAGGTCACAGTCTCACAGTTCATGAGTTTGGGCCCTGCATCAGGCTCTGTGCTGCAGTGCTTTGTGTTCTCTGCCCCTCCCCTTCTTGGATGCCCACTTTCTCTTTTAAAAATAAATAACCTTAAAAAAAGAAAAACAAACTTTAAGGGTACCTGGGTGGCTCAGTCGTTAAGCATCTGACTTTGGCTCTGGTCATGATCTCACGGTTTGTGAGTTCAAGTCCCACATCAGGTGAGCTTGGGCCCCACTTTGGGTGAGCCCTGCTTCTCTCTCTCTCTCTCTCTCTCTCTCTCTCTCAAAAAAAAAAAAAAAAGCTGAGAGCCTTAGTGATTTGTTAAGGTCACAAAGACTAGTGATGGATGGGGCACCTGGGTGGCTCAGTCCATTAAACTTCTTTTTTTTTTTCTTAATATTTTTTTTTAATTTATTTCTGAGAGAGACAGCATGAACAGGGGAGGGTCAGAGAGAGAGGGAGACACAGACTCTGAAACAGGCTTCAGGCTCTGAGCTGGCAGTCAGCACAGAGCCTGAGGCGGGGCTCGAACCCACGAACCGTGAGATCATGACCTAAGCAAAAGTCGGACGCTTAACCGACTAAGCCACCCAGGCGCCCCACAGTCCATTAAACTTCTGACTTGGGCTCAGGTTATGATCTCGAGGTTTGTGAGTTCAAGCCCAGCATCAGGTTCTGTGCTGACAGCTCAGAGCCTGGAGTCTGCTTCAGATTCTGTGTCTCCCTCTCTATGCCCCTCCCCCACTTATGCTCTGTTTCTCTCTCTCAAAAATAAATAAATATTTTTTAAAAATTACAAAGACTAGTGATGGAAAATATCAGATTCAAGATAATCCTTGCTTGGGGTGACTACTGTCTCAGTCACAGAACGTGACTTTAGATCTCAGGATTGTGATTTGGAGTCCTATGTTGGATGTAGAGATTACTTAAAAAGAAATAAATTCTTAACGGGGCGCCTGGGTGGCTCAGTCAGGTTAAGCGTCCGACTTCGGCTCAGGTCATGATCTTACAGTTTGTGAGTTCGAGCCACACGTCAGGCTCTGTGCTGACAGCTCAGAGCCTGGAGCCTGCTTCGGATTCTGTGTCTCCCTCTCTCTCTGCCCTTCCCCTACTTGTGCTCTGTCTCTCCCTGTCTCTCAAAAATAAACAAATGTAAAAAAAAAAGAAAAAGATAATCCTTGCTCTTCCCTGTGGACCTGAGTGATATTTTTTCATCTGTACCTGTCTTTCTGTTCCATCTAAATTCCTTGAGATCAGGGCTATCATGTATTTGGAATCTCTCGGAGTACAAAACCATCTGCTGTAGTTGACACATTACAAAATCATGGATGGAGGGGCTTAGGTCATGATCTCATGGTTTGTGAGTTTGAATCCTATGTGAGGCTCTGCACTGACAGCTGCATATTCTCTGTCTTCCCATCTCTCCTCTCCCACCGCCCCCCACCAAATAAATAAATAAAACAAAATTGTGGATGGATTGCTCATATGGGCAAATCCTCACTGCCTTTCCCTCAAAGGTGCTTTACTTCTTAAACCCAGGATAAAATTCCCCCCAAATGGAGACCAAGCTGACTTGATCTGGAGAAGGAAGATAGGTTATTTAATTTAGTGTAACTGTGGCTCACAATTCTCTGTTCTTTTTCCATACTGGTGCCATTAGGAACCCCATCAATCCCACCACATCTCCCCTACCATAAATCAGGGCAATTCAGAGATATCTCTCTTGGCCGGGGGACCTGCTGGCTTCTCCTGTTCTCTTGCTTTCTCCTCATACATCAAGATCCTGGTTGAGATGGGAAGAGACAGAGGAATCAGGGGACAGCCTTCTTAAGAGAATAAATTTCAGGCTACTGTGAAAGTCTGGAAGGGGTTGGGGGTTGTTATGGTGGAAGGAAGAGGAAGGAGAGCTGAGATGGGAGAGCTGGGGGCTGTGGGGACTAGAACAATGGTCTAGAGGACTAGAACCCTCAAAGAAGGGACGAAATGGACATGGAGTAATGTGTAGGGGACGGGGATGGGGTGAGGAGAAAACAGGTAAGTATAGGAGAGGTTGGAACTGGACTCTCACATTTTTAAGATGGCAGATCTCTTTCCCAACATCATCTTGAGAAAGTCAGAGTAGCTGAAAGTCTCCCCAGAGCCACTGGACACCTCCCTGATTAGTTTCTTCAGCTCCAGGTGGGTCTTGGGGGCCCCAAGTTTTTCCAGCATTCGCTTCAGGGACATGATATCTAGAGGCAGACAATGGGGGTGAGAAGAGAGGAGCCTCTCTCTCTCTCTGTCCTCACCTTCACATTCCCATACTCCTTCCTCCTCCCTCTGGTAGCTGGACCCTCTCCCAAACCACCAGGAACTGAACACTGCAGGAGACACATCCCTCTTCCTGGGTCTGCACACTTCCCCAGATCACCCTTTCTCACCGATATCTCCGTTTCCATTCAGGTCAAACTCCATGTATTTCTCTGGGTGAGGGGAGAAAAGCAGATAGGGTCAGCGCTGGCTGGAGGGTCTGGGGCAGGGTCCAGGGCAGGGCAGGGGATTGAGAAAGGGTTTGCTGACCAAGCGCTAGGTGGAGAAGATGTGAAAGGAGAAGGTGGGGCAGGCTGAGGAAGTGCCGGTGGAGTGGAGGGGCCCTGTTAAAGTGTAGGGTAACAGAGAGGGTGCTGAGCCGGGCAGCCCAAGGAAAGGGACAGCAACCAAGGGGGCAATAGGGGCAGCCTCCCTTCTTCCCAACACAAATGTAGACTTTGTGTCTCTGCTTCCCTTCTCTGTCCTTGGGGAAATCCTGCCCTCCTCCCTCCCCCATCCCTAGGGAGTGAGTTTTCTCCTCACTCTTGAAGGCTTCCAGTTTGGAGAGCAGATCTTCATCACTGCTATATTTGGGATCATCCAGGAATTGCTGTTGGGGGAGGGGGAAAGCAAGAGGCAGGATAGGTCCTCTGGTCCAAGGTCCCCTTCTGCAGGCCCTGCCCCCCCCCCACCCCCCGCCTTTGATTTTCCCTTTACCTTGTTGATTTCATCGAGTCTGTCTTCCTGCTGGGCCTTCAGCAACCCAAAGGCTTTTCCTCCTGAGGGGGCACAAAGGTTAATGCTTCCTTACCCCCCATTCCTCTTCTCATCCCCACACCCACCAAGGGCCATCACATTTCTGCCTTCCTAGGCCTACTCACCAACCCCTAGCTACCCCTCCCACCCCAGGTCTGTCCATCTCTTTGCTCTTATTTTAGGCTCTGCTGATTCTACCTTCCCTACCCTGTAAATCTCTGGTGTGGCTCATAGCTCAGCAGATGATGGTGGAGAGGCCGGTGGACTGGTGGGTACAGACAGACCAAGCTGGCGCCCTCTCTGTCTCCTCTCCCATCAGCCTCCTCTGAGGCCTCCCTCCCAGACTTCCCCTTTCCCCTTATTCGCTTCTCCTCTAGTCCCAGGCTTCACTTCCCCATCAGCTTCTGCTGACAAGAGCACCCCAGAAGGAAGGGGGTGGGTGGGTGGCTACAGGATAGAGATGAGAAAGTAACATTCTTCCAAATTCCTCTTAAGGAGAGCCCAGTGTGTGCATGAAAGAAAGAAGCCTTGGGGCGCCTGGGTGGCTCAGTAGGTTAACTGTAGGACTTTGGCTTGGGTCATGGTCTCACGGGTTCGTGAGTCTGAACCCTGTATCAGGCTCTGTGCCAACAGCTTGGGGCCTGGATCCTGCTTCAGATTCTGTATCTCTCTCTCTCTCTGCCCATCCATGCTCGCATTCTGTCTCTTTCTCTCTCTCTCTCTCTCAAAAAAAAGTAAACATTAAAAAAGAAGAAAGGAAAGAAACCACTGGAAGTATGGCGGGGGGGGGGGGGGGGGGGAAAGAAGAAAGGAAAGAAACCACTGGAAGTATGGCGGGGGGGGGGGGAGGTATTTATTCTCAGGAACAAATGGTCTTTGAACAGGTCCAGAGGGTCAGGTAACCCTCAAGGCTTTCATTTTCTCAGATTTCATGAGTCTCAGTATGCGGGTTTGGATAGACAGCTGAGGAAGGGCTGACTGAATTATTCTAGGCTATGAATGGGAGAAAAATCTTAAGTCCACTGGCACCTCTAGGAGGAATGCAAGATGTGTGGGGTCAGAAAGGGAGAGAAACTTCACTCCCCAACCTGGCAGTTCCACAGACGCACTTGGAAATATGGAAATGTCTAACAAATGAGGTTTTTTTTAAATGTTTATTATTTCTTTTTGAGAGAGAAAAAGAGGGAGAGAGACAGAGCTTGAGTGGGGGAGTGTCAGACAGAGAGGGAGACAGAGAATCCAAAGCAGGCTCCAGGCTCCAAGCAGTCAGCACAGAGCCCCATGTAGGGCTTGAACCCACAGACCACGAGATCATGACCTGAGCTGAAATCGAACACTTAACCAACTGAGCCACCCAGGTGCCTACAAATGAGTTTTATGTGTTTGCCTTAGGATGTGCACTGTAACCCACTCATCTTATCTCCTTTGAAATATTTAGTGAAATCTACAGAGCTCAGGAATTCGAGAATTTAAGTGGATTCTTTGGAGAAACTGAAAGTCGTGTTGAGAGAGACAGCATTTACAGGCACAAGAGCCAGGAGGTGAAGCTAACATTAGGGATGGTGGGGCGGGGGGGGCGCGGGTACCAGTCATTATGGGTTCAACATAGTGGATAAGTAACCTTTAATAAATGTCTTCCTTACGTATATACTTTTTTTTTTTTTTTTTTTTGCTGTATGGGTAGTTACTTCTAAGGAAGGAGAAGATAGCCCATTCCCCTCACTGAGACATTTTGTTCAAACTCCCCACCCAGAGCTCCACCCAGGCTGCCCCAGCCTTGATGGAGACACCATTCCTTGTCCTCTCCCCTCTGCCTTATTTCCCTTTCTGCAGCTGGGAGTATTTACTTCTCCTGCCCTCTCCCTGACCCATGCAGGTCGGGGGAGATGCTGGGGTGAACTCTGACTTTTTTACTTCCCTTTATTGTACCTGCCTCTATTCCTTCAGAGAAAGCTGCAACCCTGAACTCAGGTCTCAGCACCTAGTGGGGGGATTTCATTTCTTTATTCATACATATATTCAACAAATATTTGTCAAGTACTTACTATATGCCAACTCAGTGAACCAAACAAATGTCAGTTCTTGTCCTCATGGACAGTGTAACTGCTGAAGACAGACAACAAAAGTAAATATATAGGGGCGCCTGAGTGGCTCAGTCAGTTAAGCATCTGACTTCAGCTCAGGTCATGATCTCATGGTTTGTGAGTTCGAGCTCCTCGTCAGTCTCTGTGATGACAGCTCAGAGCCTGGAGCCTGCTTCGGACTCTGTGTCTCCCTCTCTCTGTCCCTTCCCTACTCATGCTCTCTCAAAAATAAACATTAAAAAATTATTTAAAAAAAAATATATATATATTAGGGACATCTGGCGGGCTCAGTCAGTGCAGAATGTGACTCTTGATCTCGGGGTTGTAAGTTTGAGCCCCATGTTGGGTATAGAGATTACTTAAAAATAAACAATTTAAAAAATGATAATCATATTAAAGGTGGCAGGCACCTATGCAGAAAAACAAAGTAGAGAAGGGGGTAGGAAGTGCTGTGGTGGACTACAGTATTAAATAGGGTGATCAGGAAGGCTTCTCTGAGAAAATGATATTTGAGCAAAGATTTTAAGAAATTATGGAAATAAGCCATGTGGCTATATGGGAGAGGAGTATTTCAGACAGAGGGCATAGCAAATGCAAAGTTCCTGAGGTGAGACTATGTCTGGCTATCTAAACTATTCATGAAACAGCAGGATGGCCAGTGTAGGGATGTGTGGGGAAATAGGCAGGAGATGAGGCCACATCATGTAGGGCTTTATAGGCCATTGGGAAGACTCTGGCCTGTATTTAGGGTAAGACTGCCTTCCAGACTATTCTTTCCATCAAGGATAGTTTGGCAAACTACCATAGTGATATAGAGCTTAGATGCTCAGAGAAATGTCCTCAGATAAAGTGTCCCTGCTCTGACAGGGGACAAAAGTGAAGAGTAAGAGTCTCTAGAAGGACAAAAGGGTAGAGAACAAAACCAGAACACAGATGTGGGGAAAGCCTGTGAAGAACAGACATGCAGGAAGACATCTCCCACCCAAACTCAGGGGTCCAGCCCTCTCAACTACAGAGAAGGCTAGCTCATGGTAGTTAAGGGTGAAGGGGATGTGGGGTTTCTGGGCAAGGGTGGAAAATAGCGGCAGGGGCGCACTAGAGGGGTGGCTGCAAGCAATCTTCGAGAACATATAGATAGGGGAAGTAGATAGCTCTCTGACAGGCTGCAAAATCCAGAACTGAGCTGAGATATGCAGAATCACCTTAAGATAGTGGCTTTCTTATGAGTGGCCCTTCTACCAACATTACATAGAAGCAAGTTAGAAATGCGCATTGTTGGGCCTCAGCCCAGACCTACTGAATCGGGAACAGTGGGGGTGGGCCTAACACAATAGCTTTTTAACAAGCGCCTCAGGTGATTCCATACACAATAAAGTGCGAGAGCCACTGCCCTAAAGCAACAGAGGTGCCTACGCCTGCAAGGTTTGCTGAACCCAGGCTGAAGGTGTCAACTGAGCTTAAACATGGTTTAGGGATCAGCCTTGGAGGAAGAAAAAAGGAGTCACTAAGCCCAGAGTGGTTGGTGTCCAGCCAAGCACTCAGGGAGATGACGCTGGGCTGGCTCTAGAAATGAGCCACTAGAACCCCATGAGATTAGAATCCCTTATGAAACTGGCACCGTGTTGCTAAAGGCCCTTGTTATGATCCTATGCTCTCCTGGGGAACTGCTGCTTAGAATTAGGCCCCACGGAGTGTGCTTACTGGAAAAAACTATACTGGCCAGAAAGCTTGTCTGTGGGTGTGTCCTGGAAGTCTTCTGTTGCCCCTCGGCTCTCCCTCTCCCACACTACTCTCTGCCTTAGGAAACTAACCTGTACAGACCACACCAAGGGCACCTCTGGTTTCTAGCCGTTTTGGCTGACGGAGAGCCTGGCAGGAATACAACAGGAGGACATTAAGTTGAGGACGTTCCTTCCTCTGGCTCCCTTCCCACAAGGTCACCTCAGGTTGGCCGAAACCTCCACTTATAGGCAATGCTTCTCTCCAGGTGCCCTCACTACATGGCTATATCTGCCTCTAGGTTTCAGTAGCCCAAAGAAATAGATCTCAGGTGGTCTGTCAAATTCGAAAGGATGAAAACTATAGAAAATTTATGAAGGAAATTGAAGAAGACACAAAGAAATGGAAAAACATTCCATGCTTATGGATTGGAAGAATAAATATAGTTAAAATGGCATTACCACCCAAAGCAATCTACACATTCAATGCAATCTCAATAAAAATTGCACCAGCATACTTCTCAAAACTAGAACAAACTATCCTAAAATCTGTATGGAACTGAAGAGCCTAAATAACGCCATTTTAAAATTAAGACCCCCATTAAAAGCAACCTAGGGCTGCACATAGCAGCAGTCTCAGAAAAAAACTGCAGATTGTTCAAGGCCTAAACCCCTCCCCAATTAGCCAATGAGAGGAGGTTAAAAACATTCCTGACGGCTGAGACAAGGGCTGCTCCCCGCACCTAACTCACCTCATAATTGGTCATTTTCAAAGGAGTCTCAAAAAGCCATAATTGGGCTCTACCAAAAGTAACGCAGGTACTGAATGGTCAAAGCTGTTGCCAAGGGCGTTATACAAATGTGATTGGTGTACAACATATGTACTGTAACACCCCCATCCCTTACCCCTTAAAAACCCTGCTCACTATTGTTCCGGGCCTCCCCCCTGCTGCTGCTGCTGTGTTGGTTGGTGGGTGAGACCCTGCTCCAGCTTGTAATAGAGACCCTTTTGTTCTTGCATCGGTATTGGCTTCTGAGGTCACTGGGGACTCGTGATTTGGGCACAACAGAACCACAAAAGACCCCGAATAGCCCAGGTAATATTGAAGAAGAAAACCAAAACAGGAGGCATCACAATCCCAGACTTTAGCCTCTACTACAAAGCTGTCATCATCAAGACAGTATGGTATTGGCACAAAAACAGACACATAGACCAATGGAATAGAACTGAGAACTCAGAAGTAGACCCAAAAGTGTACAGCCAACTAATTTTTGACAAAGCAGGAAAGAGTATCCAATGGAAAAAAAGACAGCCTCTTTAACAGATGGTGCTGGGAGAACTGGACAGCAACATGCAGAAGAATGAAACTAGATCCTTTTCTCACACCATACACAACAATAAACTCAAAATGGATGAGGGACCTGAACGTGAGACAGGAAACCATCGAAACCCTAGAGGAGAAAGCAGGAAACAACCTCCTTGACCTCCACCACAGCAACTTCTTACTTGACACATCCCCAAAAACAAAAGAA